GAGCGGGAGCACCCCTCAAAGAGAAGAGTGCGAGGAGTGCCACGAGCTGCACCTACAGCAAGGATGTTCTTCTCCGCTGTAAGGAGCTGCGTCTCGAAGTCGTCGACGGTGAGAGCGGTAGGGTCTAGAGCGAGAAAGTGGTCCCTGACTGAGCGAAGAGAGTCAGGGAGGCGGGTGACGAGGAAGTAGAGCGTAAAGTACATCGGAGGGGTGTTCTTGGCGAGGAACTCGTTTGTAAGGGCGGAACGAAAACGAGTGTCACTAGCGCGCAGGTGAGCGATGAGGTCCTCAGTAGTGTGGAACGAGGACAGGTCGGGGAACAGGTAGGGTAGCATGAGACGGCCTAACGCTGCAGTGGCTGGGGAGGAGTAGCGCGCAACAACAGCGTCGTACAGTGCCTTCGCAGTCTTGTGCTGGCTAAAATGCGCGCGCTCAGTGATCGGCAGGTGGTTGCGAATAGCGAGGCGCGCAGCAGCATCGCGAGTCTGCCATTGTGAGCGGTCGGAAGCAGGAGCATCGTCAGCAGGACGAACGGCAGTGCCAGACGTGTGATCGAACGGTGAAACGTTGTCCGTCTTTGGCATCGGTCATAAGGAACAGTATGAGGTCGTCGAGCCAGGTGGCGAACTCGATCGGGCTACCGTCAGGCTCAAACGCGAGAACATTGAACGTCGCCATAATCGCGGTGCAGGCAAAGGGAGCCGGCGAAGGCAGCAGGCGCAAGGCAGGCAAGCGCACATTAGGCAAGCAGGCGCAAGGCAGGCAGGCGCACTTCAGGCAAGGCGCAAGGCTGGCAGGCACACTTCAGGCAAGGTGCAAGGCAGGCAGGCGCGCGGCTAGAGCGAACGCGCGGCACACGGGCGACGAAGTGCGCAGGGCGAGGCGGCGGCGCACAGGTAGGGCAGGGCGCAGCGGCGACGGGCGGCGCACGGGCAGGGCACGCAGCTGTGGGCTGCGCGCGGCTGCGGGCTGCGCGCGGCTGAGGGCTGCGCGCGGCTGAGGGCTGCGCGCGGCTGAGGGCTGCGCGCGGCTGCGCGCGGCTCGGCGCGGGCTGCGCGGGCTCGGCGCGGGCTGCGCGGGCTCGGCGCGGGCTGCGCGGGCGGTGCGCGGGGCAGCTGCGGGCCGCGCGTGGGCCGCGCGGGCGACGAGCGGGGCGTGACGCGGCTGGCAGCAACGGCGCGCGCTAATAAAAAATGGATACACTGTCAGAATCCCAGTCACTAACCACTAGGATAAAAGGGCTTGTTTATATAGCGGGTGAGTGCGCCCATAACCCCCCAGGCCGACGTGCCTGTAACCCTTCCCTAGGATCATCGGGGATCTCCAGTGGACCTCTGACACCCCCCCGCATTGGGATGCCCGAAGTGCACACACCGGGAATCGAACCCGAGACCTTCGCTCTGATACCATGTCAGAATCCCAGTCACTAACCACTGGGATAAAAGGGCTTGTTTATATAGCGGGTGAGTGCGCCCATAACCCCCCAGGCCGACGTGCCTGTAACCCCTCCCCAGGATCATCGGGGATCCCCAGTGGACCTCTGACATACACGCGCGTACAGGCGAGGCGCGCACGGGTAGCAGGCAAGGCAAACAGGCAGGCAAGGCAGGTAAGGCCGTAGGTGAGGTAACGCGGTAACGAGTGGGCCCAAACTTAGGTCCTAAAGACCTACTGCTCTAGATACCATCTTAAACTTAGGCATGAGTGAGTTGAGACTATCGAGAGAGTTGTACAAGATGAAAACCCTAAGGGGTTATACCCCACAGTATATACCCCACTACAGCCTACCGTAAGTATAACATATAAATATATGTTTGACAGGTACTATTGCCGCTGCTGAAGCCATCGCTGGAGTTGTCGCTGGTGCCAGTCTTGGCGCTATTTGCGGCTGTTGCTGTCTTGCCCGCCATTCGTGTACAACGTCCACAGAGCCTTCGAGCTCACTGAAGACGGCCTCGTCTGGCGTGGAGCTGCTACTTGCTTCGTCCACGACGGGTGACTCCTCGCGCATGGCGTAGTTCGGCGTTTTTCTCCCTCCGGCGCTCGACCTCCGAAGTCATGGTCTATACGGTGGCGTGCATCGCTCGGAACTGTTGGAGGAACATGTTAAACTCGGCCTGTTCTATGTTTCTTAGGCTTCGACTAACAGGCAGGGGGTTTACAGCGATTTTTATGACTTTGATGAAGGCGCGAACGCTAAAGTAGTCGAAGTGAAATCATCGTATTTCACAGCCGACCACTTCGCAGCCTACCAAGTATATCGCACCTCGTCACTAAACTACATACCCCGGAAACGCGAAGGTAACATGGAAAAGTAGCTCTGATACCGAGTGTTATGAGTTGTAATAAGAAATAGTGCGCAGGATTATCGCAGAAGTGATAACAACAACTGAGCAAATAATGAGACCTAGCATTGATATAGCGAAGGCTAGCTAGGCCAAGGTCGCGGGATCGCGTATGGTTGGGTGTAGGTTCGGGGTTGGGAACCCGAAGGCGATGCAAGGGACGTTCGGAGGGCGAGGTCGTCAGACCGAGCCTGAAACTCTGAAAGTTGGATTTTGTACGCGCATGAAGTGCCTCAGTAAGAAACATGTCCCTAGATTTCAGCCTTTTTACGCAGATGCAGCCGTTTTTCAGACTTTTTTTCCTATACCAAGGCTGATTTTTCAGCCTTAGTGATTTTAAATGGAAAAATGACATTTTTGGCTGATTTTAAGCATAAATTTGCTAGTCTACTCTGATTTTCCAGCCTACCCCAAAACCAATCTAGGGGCCTCGTAAGGAATTAGGCAAAGTCCCTTGTACAACATTTGTAGCAAAACATGCAAAACGGTAACGCAGTGAGTGCGAGGTTATATTGCGACTCCGGTAGCGAGGTTCGGGCTAGTCCCCAAGCGTAGGCCGACTCGGGCCAGGAGAACGACGCGAGAAGGCGGCAAAACTTTTTCTAGTGGGTAACGGGCGAAATTTTCGTTACACATATCTTGAAACGCGGATCTGCTGTGGGTATCCTGAGAACCACCTAGCAGCAGACTCGTTGCTACAATTGCAACGAGTGTTTCCTGATTCCGCTGAGACCTTCCAGTTGGCCTCGCCGGACGCGAGCTCTCCGCTGGCACGACTGCAGGAAAGCTAGTAGTGATGAATGCCCTAGAGTTGCTGGACTTACTATGACCTACTCTCTAGCATGAGTCATGCGAATGCTGCGGATATCGAGGCAGCTTGATCTCATGGCTTTCATGTTGTCTCCGCCGAGAGGACTCACAACCAGTAGGAGCTCCGGCGTAGGTCGAGTATTGCGCACGTTCGCTTTACTGGTCGTGCTCTCGTGCCTCACTCGAGTATGCTACCATCGACTCGTAGCACCGCCATTATCAGCCGACGCACCTTCTACCTTTCGCATCCTTCTTTGGCGTTATCGCACCTCTCGCGCCCGTCCGAGTAGCCTGACCGGCGACAATCGTGCCTTCACCCCCCTTGTCCCTCTGCTAGTAACCCAGCCCCTCGCCAACACTTCTCGCAGTTGTGCTTCCCTTAGCGGCAGCGATCTTTCCGCGCATCAGGCTCCTCCCAGTCAACCGCGCGGCGATCTCACGCCGTTCGCGATGAGCATCGACTGCGTGCCGGCCATGAGAGACTTCCCCGACCCCTCCTACCCAAACGGTCCCGGCGACGAGCCGGCCGCGCTGTCTGCGCCGCAGGAGCGCGGCTCGGCGCGCGCCGCCGCGTGCAGAGCGGAGCTGCGGAACGCGCTGCAGCTGTTTGCAGCGGAAGCGAGGCGGAGAGAGGCGGAGGCGGAGTGCCAGGCGGAGGCGGCGTTGCCAGCGAGGCCCCACGGCGAGGTCGCACGGGATGCTCACAGCCTTGGCAGACTCGCTCACAGCCGTAATACGGCCGATAGCACCAATGGTACCACTCCCGGCCCCACCACTGCTGCTGCTGCTGCTGCTGCTGCTGCTCCTGTTGCTGCCCCAGCAGACTCCGCCGCGCTGCTGTGCTCTGCGGCGTGGCGGCGGGCGGCGATGGCGCGAGCTGCGGCGAGTTCGTTCGTGGCGAAGATGTTGAGGCGCAACCAGACGTCGCTGGCGCGCATAGAAGCGCGCGTGCATGCCGTGTGCCGCGGGGTGCACGAGACAGAGTCCCGGCTCAGCGGCCAGTGCAGCGACCAGGGGAACCCGGGTGGCGAGGGCGGGACAGCAGCAGTGGCAGCAGAAGAAGCAGGAGGAGAAGCACGAGGAGAAGCAGGGACAGGAGCAAGAGCAGGAGAAGCAGGAGGAGAGGGAGCAGCAGCAAAGTGCGGGTGGTGGCCTGAGGTGTGCTGGCCGGTGCCACACATGCCCTTCTCCGATGTCACGGTGCCCCTCTTCTCCTTCCCTACTTTCCTCCCTCATCCCTCCTTCCGCCCTTGCCTCTCTTACAAGCTGCTCTCAGTTCCTTCCTCCCTTCGCGTCCCCCTTCCCCTGCCTCGTTTCACACACGCTCCACTCCAAGATCCCTCGTGCACCAGGCCACACAAGCACCATTAAGATATGTTAAACTATCCTCCTTTATCCTCCGACTTTCTTCACTATCCTTCCCTATTCCCCCCCTGTTCCTTCACCCTACTGTCTTCCTTTAATCTTCCATCTGCAAGTTTCCTCACTTTGCCTCTTCACCTCCCCACCCTCCACCTCCCTCTCCCGTCCCCCAAGCCCGCTCCACCTCCCACTCTCTCCATTCCATCCCCCTCAACACACCAGCGCACTCAAGCACTCTTGAGAATCCAGCCCCCCCCGAGCCCCATGTTGCACGTGCGTCAATCCACCCCCCCAGGCTGCGAGGGGTCGCAGGTTCCTTGTGTTTGCGTACTCGCACGAGCAGCTCTCCAACACGCGCTCTCACCTTGTTGAGGCCGCGCGCTTCGCCCAAGCCACCAACCGCACGCTCGTGCTGCCCAAGGTGCCACTGCCGTGCTTTTCATCTTAAAGCACCACTCTGCACATCTCTGCTGTCTCCCGCATATGCTGCTTATGTTTCCCCCTTCCTCAAACCCCACGTCCCGTCATTCCCACCTCCCACCTCTCCCGTCCTCTCCCTCCCCTCCTCTCCCCTGTCCCACTCTCCCCCTCTCTCCCTTTCCCCCTCTCCCCCTCTCCCTTGCTCGCCTTCTCGCCCTCTCCCCCTCTTCCCCCTCTGCCGTTCCTCCCCCTCTCCCTCTCCCCATCTCCCCCACGCCACCCCCTCCTCTGTGCCCGACGCCGCAACCACGCCAGGGCAGTCGCAGCCGCCTGTCAGTGGGCGGGGCGCTGCCGCTGTGCGACTACTTTGACCTCGCGCGCATCGCCACGCACTGGATCTCGCCCGAACTCTTCCTGCTGCTCGCCAGAGCCGCGCTCACCGCGCCCTTCGCTGCTGCTGCTGCGCGTGGCGCCAGCCCCTCCGTGGCCTTCGTGCACGTGCAGACACACCGCATGTGGCACCTGCCCTTCACTCAAAGCAAGTAGCACCAACTAAAACTTTCCAAAAGTTTCTGAGAATCCCCATTAACCCACCTCAGCCCATCTCATGACATCCCGTTCCATTCTTACTCCTCCTCATTCGCCAACTGTTTCATTCCATACCAGCTCATCACGTTATATCCCATCCTAACACGTGACATCACATCCCAGCCTATCACATGGCATCACAGCCCATCCCACCACCACAAAGTAACCATGCCACCCCTGGTTAGTTCTATCCCATTCCTTCCTATCGTGCCCCATCAATCAACACATGCACTCTCTGCAATCACATCCTCCTTCCTCCTCTTCACCACTTTGCTAACTCCCCATCCTTCCCGCTTCCATGCAGCATTTGCTGTGCGAACGTCTCAGAGGCTGTGTTTGTTGCTCCTTGTTGGGCAGGGTGTTTGGTGGACATACTGAGTGAGCTCATGGTGTATGGCATGGGCCACGCGCCCTCCAGACGCAACACTCTTGACGTCATCATGCCGGCTGACAGCTCTGCAATTCTCCGCAAGTTAAACAAGTGGTGTGTGCCCTCACTCCATGCTGATCCGCTTGATCATCGATATTCCACGATGCCAAAATGACTGGAAGAAAGAAATGACTCATAACAGGCATCCCTCCTCCTCCTCGTTCTCGCAGCCCAGGTCTTGTCATTGCGACATGTGTCTGGTTGCTATTGCACACATGTTAGCAAGCACGAGGTTCTTAGCAGGAAGGCCAGCACAACATCCTTCCAATGCACAAGCGTGTGCCTTCCCGTGTGCATTGCTCTGCATCGCCTTTGCATTCCACGGCTGCAGGCGGCACACGGACGTGCTCGTGTGGGTGAAGACCACGTTCGAGCGCATGGGCTTCCAGCCTCCCACGGATTCCATCTCCTTCCAGATGCTTCCGTACAGCCAGGAGTGGCACGCCATGGCTCAGCGAGCCATGGCCCGCCTGCCCCCGCGCTACATTGCCGTGCACTACCGCTCCGAGTTCATCGCCTTCCACCTCGTGAGATCATCGCCTTCCACCTCGTGAGATCATCGCCTTCCACCTCGTGAGTTCATCGCCTTCCACCTCGTGAGATCATCGCCTTCCACCTCGTGAGATCATCGCCTTCCACCTCGTGAGTTCATCGCCTTGAACCTCATGAATGCATTGCCTGGAACCTCTATGTTCTTGGTTGGCTGGATGGTGGCAGTCCACAAGCCATCATGCCGTCATGCTACTTGATGAAGTTTGTTTTTTTGCAGGCTCAAAGTGACCCAAGAGTCAAACGAATCTGCAACCCAAATCCGTTGTCACCCACCCTGCAGGCGCACAAGCTAGTGCGGAAGGGCTTCAAGGTGGAGGCGGGCGTGCTGGAGGAGCTGATGACGGGGTGCATGGAGGCGGCTCGCGACCTGATCAACGGCATGAAGCGCCGCCACAACATCTCGGCCGTCTTCATCGCCGCCGACGTGCCGTTTGACGACAAGGCGGGCAGCCTCGTGCGCTCCGACTCGTGGAAAGAAACCACGTGGAGGTTTCAAGGGCAGGAGAGGGTGCTGGCGGCCCCGCAGGAGAAGCTGCGGTGGCTGAGGGAGCAGGTGGCGGGCACAGTGATGGTGGACGAGCTCATGCCCGCCATCAACCACTACGACCCCGGTCAGTGCTTCCTGCTTCGCTGCCTGCCTGCCTGCGTGCATGGCTGCTTTGGACGCTTGGGTGGCAGCCCCGTGGCAAGGTCTTCCAGCGAGGGTCTTCGTGCCATGCCCCTTCTCCGTTCTGCCAAGATATTCCAGAAGAGTGCGACTAGCTGCTCCTGTGTGCCGTGCCAACCCTCACTCCCTTCCTGCGCACCTCCTCTTCCTCTCTTGCCATCTAATCTGCCCTCTGCCCTCCTTTTCGGCCTCCTTTTTTATGCTCTCCCATGCTCTCCCACTCTCCCTTCCATACATGCAGGCATTGTGGCCATATTGGACAAGCTGCTGTGTGCGCATGCGCACGTGTTCCTGGCTGGGTCTATCACATGCGGGGGGGGGCGTGGGTTTGAGGAGGACATCAACATCCACAGGCATCACTTCAACAGGACCCCCCCCCACAGATGGGTCTCGGAGACAGACAAGCGTCTATTCCACCTGAACAGCAGCTCTGCAGGTGCAGGGTGAGAGAATCTGGATGTTGAATCTGGTACTTCAGTTCTACCTGTCATTGCCTGCCTTGTATACAATCTCGCGTATTAAATGTCAGAAATGCGGTAGAACCCACGCCGCAGAATGGTGAACTAAGCGCAATGGGGAATACAAGTATTAACCAAAATGAGTTGTACCCTCTATGGGCTACACTACAGCTGACAATTAATAATTATCTTTTGACAGACCTCCATAGGCAAAGTGGGGGATAGCCAGAGCAAGCAATCGTCATAAGACCAATCAAGAGAAGCAACAGAGCAAGACAAGCTCAGGGTGGATCACAAAGTCACCACACAGTCCGAGCGCAAGCAAGTGGCCACACAGGGCCAGTTCACATGCAGGGTTATAAAAAACTGTCAAATGTTGTAGCCTATAGTGAGGTTTGTCTTAGGGGGTACAAAACTTAGGGTTAGCTATATGTACCCCAACCAACATCAATGCACCATCCATTCTTCATTTTGACATGGTATCAGTTAGGTTAGGATCCTGTGGGATCCCGTTCCTCCGTTCTCCGTTCGAGCCTCCCGAGCCTGATCCTAGCTCTCATTCGTCCCGGTTCCGTTGTTACCGCGCGTAGTGCCGCGCCTAGCGCCACTCCTAGCGTCGCGTCCTGCCCGCCCTTTCCCCCTCGTCGCGTCCCTTTCCCCCCGTCGCGTCGCGCCCTTTCCCCCCAGTCGAGTCGCGCCCTTTTCCCCCCGTCGCGTCGCGCTCTTTCCCCCCGTCGCGTCGCGCCCTTTCCCCCCGTCGCGTCGCGCCCTTTCCCCCCGTCCCGTCGCCCTGCCCCGTCCCGTCCCGTCTCCCCGTCCCGTCGCCCTGCCCCGTCGCGTCGCCCTGCCCCGTCCCGTCGCCCTGCCCCGTCCCGTCGCCCTTCCCCGTCCCGTCGCCCTGCCCCGTCGCGTCGCCCTGCCCCGTCCCGTCGCCCTGCCCCGTCCCGTCGCCCTTCCCCGTCCCGTCGCCCTGCCCCGTCGCGTCGCCCTGCCCCGTCGCGTCGCCCTTCCCCGTCCCGTCGCCTCTGCTCCGTCGCGTCGCCCTGCCCCGTCGCGTCGCCCTGCCCCGTCGCATCGCGACCGCCCTTTCCCCCGGCCCGTCGCCCTAGCCCGTTCTTCCGCTGCGACTAAGTCCCCCCACCTGAACCCTAATTTGCCTCTTACCTCCTGCTGTTACTCGCCTGCTCGTTCGCGTTAGTTCTCGCTATGGCGACTCCGCGAGTTCTTCGTTTCGACGCTGACGGTAGACCTCTTGACTTTTCCGTCTGGCTTCTTCGCGCTCGCCGTCTGTTAGAGAGTCAAGTCCAGGGGGGCGAGACCCTCTGGTCGCACGCTACTGGTGACCTCCCCGAGCCCCCCGAGCCTGCCGCTTTAGGTCCTGCCCCTGACGATGCTGCTACGGCTCGCTTTGCCCGTCAGCGCGCTGACAGGACGGCTTGGACGTCGCGTGACGCTGCGGCCTGCATCGCACTCAGCAGCCTCCTCCCTGAGTCAGAGGAGGTCCACTTCACTCAGGTTCGCACCGCTGCTGCGTACCTCACTGCGATTAAGGCCCGCTACTCTACTCCCGCTACTGTCTCTCTTGGCCGTCTTTTCCTCCCGTTCCTGTTTCCTGATCTCGCCTCGTTTGAGCGCTCTGCTGACTTGATCGCTCACCTCCGCTCGCTCGACGCTAGTTACCGCGCTGCTTGCACTGAGGCACAGCTTGCACTGCTTCCTCCCCCTATGGCGATTACTATCTATTTCATCGCCACTAGCCTCCCTGACCGCCTTGCCTCCGTTCGCGACGCGCTTCTGCTGAAGCACCCTAGTGAGCTCACCGTCGATGTCCTTGAGTCTGCACTCAAGGACGTCGAGAGCAACCTTCGCTCGGTAGCCGCTGCCTCTGGTGCTGTGCCCCCCCCACTCTTCCACGGGTGCACAGTCCCGCAGTTACCCACCTTTACTGCCTCACTTGCCACTGCCGCTACTGACGCGACTGCAGCTGCTGTTACGACTGCGTCGCGGTCCCGCGGTAGGAGTGGCAAGAAAGGCGGTTCTGGTGGTGGTAGTGGAGGTGGAGGCGGAGGTAGTGGAGGTGGCGTTGCGCCTGGCGGCGGTGGAGGTTCAGGGCCTGGAGAGGCGCCTCGTGCAGTGACTGGTGACTCCACTGCGCCTGCTAGTGGTGGCGACGCCCGAGTTCGTCAGTCGCCTCCTGTACTTCCTGCCCCGGTTGGTGGAGCAGCGGCGTGGTACCAGGCTCAGCGTCAGCAGCAGCTTCTGCAGCACCAGCAGCCCCTCTCCTCCCAGCAGCCTCAGCAGCAGCAGCGGCAGCAGCTGGCTCCAGGGTCGGGGCTGCGTCAGACCCAGCGTGGTGCTGCTTACACTCCCTGCACCTACCAGGTTCTGACAGGCCCTCGTCGTGGCCACCCTTGTGGCCGGTTTCACCCCCCTGGTCAGTGCTTTGCTCAGCTCACTGACACGGTTCGTTTGGTCTACGGGGTGGGTGCTCCTGCCCCTGACTGGCTGCCTCTTGTTCAGCGCTACGGCTCCGCTCTGTGGGGCATGTCTGCTGAGCAGTTAGTTGATCTGATTGGTACTCCCCATGCTATGTATGCTGTTGTTGACTCTAGTGTTTCTGACTCTGCTTACTCTGGTGTTGTTAGCTTAGGTGCTAGCCTTGCTCAGTTGCCTGTTGCTAGTGTAGGTTCTTGTGTAGACTCTAGTCCAGCGGCTACCTCAGAGGACGGTTCGCTGTCGTTCACGCTGGACTCTGGAGCCTCTCACTGCTTCTTTCGTGACAGCACGACACTTACGCCTCTTCCTGCGCCTGTTTCTGTGGCGCTGGCTGATCCCACTTCGGGACCAGTCACCGCGCGTCACACTACCACCTTGCCGTGTCCGGCTGCTCCTTCTGGGTCTCTCACTGGGTTTCACGTCCCCTCGTTCTCCCGGAACTTGGTGGGCGTGCGACCCCTCGTGAGTCAGCACGTGGGTGTGTGGTTTGAGCCTTCTGGAGAGACTGCGGTGTGTGTTGACGGGGACTCTTACCAGCCCCTCGCCACTTTTGCTGCTGAGCCGGGCTCCGGTCTCTACACTCTTCACACTGGCCCGCGCGCTCAGCAGCGACTGCAGTAGCAGCAGCAGCCGCAGCAGCAGCAGCAGCAGCAGCAGCCGCAGCAGCAGCAGCGGCAGCAGCCGCAGCCGCAGCCACAGCGGCCGCCGTCGCAGCAGCCACTCCTCCCAGTTCCTGTCCCTCCCCCTAGTCTCCTCCCTGCGTCTCACCAGGTGGTTCCGTCCCCTCAGGTTGTCGCGTCCAGTCCAGTCGCTGCGTCTTGCTCCTGTCGGTCGCTTGCCCACCCCACCGTTCTGTGGCACCACCGGATGGGACACCCTTCTCTTCCACGTCTGCGTGCTATGTCTAGTCAGCGTCTGGTCTTAGGTCTCCCGCGTGTCTTGCCGTCGCTGCCGCCGTCTCTTGCACCACCGTGCGGTCCTTGCGTCGAGGGTAGGCTGCGTGCCACCCCTCACTCCTCCTCCCTTCGTCCGGCCACCGAGCCTTTTGAGACGCTGCACTTGGACGTCTGGGGCCCCTCTCCTCGCCCTGGCCCTGAGCGTGAGCGTTTCTTTTTGGTGGTCGTTGACGACTACTCCCGCTACACCACAGTGTTCCCCCTGGCGAGGAAGTCTGAGGTGACTTCTACGCTGATCAGGTGGTTGCTTACCACCCAGGACACTCGTGGTCGTCGTGTCAGCTGTCTCCACTCCGACCGCGGGGGCGAGTTTCGCTCCGGCATTCTCGCTGGATTCTGTCGCGAACAGGGCATTCGTCAGTCCTGGACGCTTCCGGAGTCCCCACAGCAGAATGGGGTTGCTGAGCGTCGCATAGGCCTGGTCATGGAGATTGCCCGCACCTCCTTGACTCACGCCCGTGCCCCCCATTTCCTGTGGCCATACGCAGTCAGGTACGCCGCGCACCAGCTGAACCTCTGGCCACGCGTCTCTCGGCCGGAGGCTTCACCGACCAGTCTTTGGACAGGGTCCCCTGGTGTCGCGTCGAGGTTTCGTGTCTGGGGGTGCTTGGCTCTTGTCCGCGACACCTCCGCGGACAAGCTCTCGCCTCGCGCCGTTCCTTGTGTCTTCCTTGGTTTCCCTGAGGACTCCTCTGACTTCACCTTTTACCACCCTCCCTCTCACCGGTTCTTTGACTCCCGTGACGTCCGTTTCGAGGAGTCCACCCCGTACTACGTCAGGTACCCCAGTCGAGGTCTCCCGGTTCCTCCTCCCCCCCTCTTCCTGACAGCCGCTCCCCCGCCTGCTCCCCCGGTACAGCCTCCCCCCCCTGGTCCAGCCCCGTCTGGTGTGTCTCAGGCTAGCCCTCCCCCTTCGGTAGCCCCCCCTGTACAGCCTCCCTCCCCACAGTCTTCCTCACCGCCTCCTGTAGGTGCTCCCTCTCGGGAGGTTGGTCCTGCGACTGTCCCTGTACAGGTCTCTGGTTCTGGGGGTGCTGGAGTTGGAGCTGAGCCGCGGGTTGCAGAGGACTCTTCTCCTCCGGGGGCTGGTACTGGTCGTGCGGAGTCTGGGGGTGCTGGTGCTGCGTCTGGGGGTGAGGGTGTTCCTTCGGTTTCTGGAGAGCCTGGGTCTGGAGCTGGTGTTGGTGCTGCCTCTGGGGGTGGTGTGCTTGGTGCTTCGGAGGTCGACTCTGGGGCTGCCGCTGCCCCGGACACTACTCCTTCCCCCCACCCCTACCCGACCAGGTTCCAGGCTCGTGTTCGTCGTGCTCGTGAGGAGCAGCTGGAGTTGGAGAGAGAGGAGAGAGAGTTGCAGCGGCTCGAGGAGCAGGAGCGACAGCAGCAGGGGCAGCAGCCGCTGGAGCAGCAGCAGCCGCAGCAGCCGCAGCAGCAGCAGCTGCCGTCTCCTCCTCCTGTCTCGGGTCTTCGGACCCTTGGTCTCCCGTCTCCCTCTCCTTCCTCCTCCCCCTCTCCTCCCGTCTCTGGTCCTCCGCTTCCTCCTCCTGACCCCTCTCCCGCTGTTTTCCCTCGTTCTCAGTCTTCGTTGTCCCCTCCTCCTTCTCAGACTTGGGCCTCTCGTCGCTCCCCTCGTGCTCGTCCCTCGTCTCCTGTTCCCTTCACTGACCTTCGTACTGCCTTACTTCGTTCTAGTCCACCTCGTCCGTCTCTGTCTGTGCTTCCGTCTCCTCCTGAGTCGGCTCTCACTGCGTCGCTCCCTACTCCTGTCACTGACTACTACCGCACGTACCGTCCTCTTCTCTCTCGTGTTCTCGCCTCACTTGTTACTCACCCTCGTGCCTCTGTGTCCTCTGTGTCCGCTCTTACTGCCGCAGTCACTGAGTTTGCCTCTACCCGCCGCCTTGACTTCGCCACCGCTCTTGTGGCTGCTCCTCCTTCCAGTCCTCTGGCCGTCGGGGGTGTGTCTGCCCTTGGCTGTGACGCCCTAGAGGACAGGCAGTTTGAGCTAGAGTTCCTGGCGGCCGCTTCCCCTCATCTCTGTGCCATGCTCCTCGCCCCTGAGGGTGACCCCGACGCCCTTGACATTCCGACTCCTCGCACTTACGCTGAGGCAGTGTCAGGGCCTTGGGCCTCTCAGTGGAGAGCTGCCATGGACGCAGAGATGGCCTCCTACAGATCCACAGGCACCTACGTCGATGAGGTTCCCCCTCCGGGGGCGAACGTAGTCGACGGCATGTGGATCTACAGGGTGAAGCGGCCACCGGGATCTCCTCCGGTCTTCAAGGCGCGCTACGTGGCTAGAGGTTTCAGTCAGCGCGAGGGAGTTGACTTCTTTCAGACCTTCGCGCCCACCCCGAAGATGACCACTCTTCGGGTGTTACTGCACGTAGCAGCACAGAGAGACTACGAGTTACACTCTCTCGACTTCTCTACTGCTTTCCTTCAGGGCAGTCTTCACGAGGAGGTCTGGTTGCGTCGTCCCTCTGCCTTCACTGGCTCTTTCCCTCCTGGGACCCAGTGGAGGCTGAGGCGACCGGTTTACGGACTTCGTCAGGCTCCTCGTGAGTGGCACGACACCCTGCGTTCTACCCTGTCTGACCTTGGGTTCCAGCCGTCTTCTGCTGACCCGTCGCTGTTCGTTCGTCGTGGCCCCACACCTTTCTTTGTTCTGGTCTACGTTGACGACCTTGTTTTCGCCACCCCTGACAGGGTTGCTTTGGCACACGTGAAGTCCGAACTGCAGAAGAGACACACCTGCACTGATCTTGGTGAGCTGCGCCACTACCTTGGCCTGCAGATCACCAGGGACAGAGCTGCTCGCACCATTACACTTTCACAGTCGCACATGGTGCAGCAGGTCCTTCAGCGGTTCGGGCTTCAGCACTCCACAGTACAGCGCACACCTCTTGCTGTTGACCACAGACTCACTGGACCCTTTCCTGACGAGCCGTTCGAGCCTAGTGGTCCCTACGCAGAGCTTGTGGGCTGCCTCATGTACCTGATGACTTGTACTCGCCCGGACCTCGCCTTCCCTCTCAGCGTTCTTGCGCGCTTTGTTGCGCCAGGGAGACACCGTCCTGTTCACTGGACAGCAGCTGTGAGGGTGGCGAAGTACCTAGCGACGACGTCAGGCGTGGGGCTAGTTCTTGGAGGGCAGCAGTCTGTCGTACTTACTGGTCACTGTGACTCCTCTTACGCTGACGACGCTGAGACTCACAGGTCTACTCAGGGGTACTGTTTCAGCCTGGGTTCTGGAGCTGTTTCCTGGCGGTCCACGCGCTCCTCTTCGGTCTCGACCTCTACAGCTGAGGCTGAGATCTACGCTGGTGCCATGGCGGCACAGGAGCTGCGTTGGTTGACCTTCTTGCTCACCGACCTTGGTGAGCGGCCGAGCTCTGCACCGACCTTGTTCACTGACAACAAGGCGTCTATTCTCCTTTGTCGAGAGCCACGACTGGAGAGCAGAGTGAAGCACATTCACGTCAGGTACTTTCTTCTGCGAGAGTTGCAGAGGCGTGGACAGGCTCGCTTTGAGTTTGTGGAGTCCGAGGCCAACACTGCAGACATCTTCACCAAGGCGCTTCCGCCTTGTGACCACCAGAGGTGCTGTGTGCAGTTAGGCCTTGTTGACACTGGTTCTCGTGTTGCTTAGACTTGAGTGTACTGTTTACTTTGCTTTCTATATATCTCTGTTACTTCTTGGACTGGCCTTGTGGCCACTGTTGTTTGTGCTCAGACTGTGTGGTGACGTTGTGATCCACCCTGAGCTTTGTTTCTTGGACTGGTCTTGTGACCGTACTCGTTTGGTTCTGCTAGACACCCCTCACTTAGGCTATGGGGGTGTGTCAAATGTTGTAGCCTATAGTGAGGTTTGTCTTAGGGGGTACAAAACTTAGGGTTAGCTATATGTACCCCAACCAACATCAATGCACCATCCATTCTTCATTTTGACAAAAACACACACAGTACAATGATCACAACCTAGCAAAGGTAAGCATGCAAGTATATATATATATATAGATCACAGTACAAGGCAAAGTCACAAGACCAGAAGTGCAAGTTACCAAGTACATGAAACAGCCCAGAAGCTCTGGATACTTACCACTCGGCTCTACGGATTCGTCCGAAGGTGGAGCTGAGAGCGAGTGGGTCGAAGGCAGAGGAGTGGGCTGTGGCGATGAGAACAAAAACGAAAGCGCGTCAGAACCTACTGCACCATGTGTGAGTGAGTCAAGTTGATGGTGCACCTTGCTCTGTCCAGGATAATCTGAAAGCCAAGATAGCTACACAGCTCACCCAGCTCACCCAGCAAAACATGCAAAACGGTAACGCAGTGAGTGCGAGGTTATATTGCGACTCCGGTAGCGAGGTTCGGGCTAGTCCCCAAGCGTAGGCCGACTCGGGCCAGGAGAACGACGCGAGAAGGCGGCAAAACTTTTTCTAGTGGGTAACGGGCGAAATTTTCGTTACACATATCTTGAAACGCGGATCTGCTGTGGGTATCCTGAGAACCACCTAGCAGCAGACTCGTTGCTACAATTGCAACGAGTGTTTCCTGATTCCGCTGAGACCTTCCAGTTGGCCTCGCCGGACGCGAGCTCTCCGCTGGCACGACTGCAGGAAAGCTAGTAGTGATGAATGCCCTAGAGTTGCTGGACTTACTATGACCTACTCTCTAGCATGAGTCATGCGAATGCTGCGGATATCGAGGCAGCTTGATCTCATGGCTTTCATGTTGTCTCCGCCGAGAGGACTCACAACCAGTAGGAGCTCCGGCGTAGGTCGAGTATTGCGCACGTTCGCTTTACTGGTCGTGCTCTCGTGCCTCACTCGAGTATGCTACCATCGACTCGTAGCACCGCCATTATCAGCCGACGCACCTTCTACCTTTCGCATCCTTCTTTGGCGTTATCGCACCTCTCGCGCCCGTCCGAGTAGCCTGACCGGCGACAATCGTGCCTTCACCCCCCTTGTCCCTCTGCTAGTAACCCAGCCCCTCGCCAACACTTCTCGCAGTTGTGCTTCCCTTAGCGGCAGCGATCTTTCCGCGCATCAGGCTCCTCCCAGTCAACCGCGCGGCGATCTCACGCCGTTCGCGATGAGCATCGACTGCGTGCCGGCCATGAGAGACTTCCCCGACCCCTCCTACCCAAACGGTCCCGGCGACGAGCCGGCCGCGCTGTCTGCGCCGCAGGAGCGCGGCTCGGCGCGCGCCGCCGCGTGCAGAGCGGAGCTGCGGAACGCGCTGCAGCTGTTTGCAGCGGAAGCGAGGCGGAGAGAGGCGGAGGCGGAGTGCCAGGCGGAGGCGGCGTTGCCAGCGAGGCCCCACGGCGAGGTCGCACGGGATGCTCACAGCCTTGGCAGACTCGCTCACAGCCGTAATACGGCCGATAGCACCAATGGTACCACTCCCGGCCCCACCACTGCTGCTGCTGCTGCTGCTGCTGCTGCTCCTGTTGCTGCCCCAGCAGACTCCGCCGCGCTGCTGTGCTCTGCGGCGTGGCGGCGGGCGGCGATGGCGCGAGCTGCGGCGAGTTCGTTCGTGGCGAAGATGTTGAGGCGCAACCAGACGTCGCTGGCGCGCATAGAAGCGCGCGTGCATGCCGTGTGCCGCGGGGTGCACGAGACAGAGTCCCGGCTCAGCGGCCAGTGCAGCGACCAGGGGAACCCGGGTGGCGAGGGCGGGACAGCAGCAGTGGCAGCAGAAGAAGCAGGAGGAGAAGCACGAGGAGAAGCAGGGACAGGAGCAAGAGCAGGAGAAGCAGGAGGAGAGGGAGCAGCAGCAAAGTGCGGGTGGTGGCCTGAGGTGTGCTGGCCGGTGCCACACATGCCCTTCTCCGATGTCACGGTGCCCCTCTTCTCCTTCCCTACTTTCCTCCCTCATCCCTCCTTCCGCCCTTGCCTCTCTTACAAGCTGCTCTCAGTTCCTTCCTCCCTTCGCGTCCCCCTTCCCCTGCCTCGTTTCACACACGCTCCACTCCAAGATCCCTCGTGCACCAGGCCACACAAGCACCATTAAGATATGTTAAACTATCCTCCTTTATCCTCCGACTTTCTTCACTATCCTTCCCTATTCCCCCCCTGTTCCTTCACCCTACTGTCTTCCTTTAATCTTCCATCTGCAAGTTTCCTCACTTTGCCTCTTCACCTCCCCACCCTCCACCTCCCTCTCCCGTCCCCCAAGCCCGCTCCACCTCCCACTCTCTCCATTCCATCCCCCTCAACACACCAGCGCACTCAAGCACTCTTGAGAATCCAGCCCCCCCCGAGCCCCATGTTGCACGTGCGTCAATCCACCCCCCCAGGCTGCGAGGGGTCGCAGGTTCCTTGTGTTTGCGTACTCGCACGAGCAGCTCTCCAACACGCGCTCTCACCTTGTTGAGGCCGCGCGCTTCGCCCAAGCCACCAACCGCACGCTCGTGCTGCCCAAGGTGCCACTGCCGTGCTTTTCATCTTAAAGCACCACTCTGCACATCTCTGCTGTCTCCCGCATATGCTGCTTATGTTTCCCCCTTCCTCAAACCCCACGTCCCGTCATTCCCACCTCCCACCTCTCCCGTCCTCTCCCTCCCCTCCTCTCCCCTGTCCCACTCTCCCCCTCTCTCCCTTTCCCCCTCTCCCCCTCTCCCTTGCTCGCCTTCTCGCCCTCTCCCCCTCTTCCCCCTCTGCCGTTCCTCCCCCTCTCCCTCTCCCCATCTCCCCCACGCCACCCCCTCCTCTGTGCCCGACGCCGCAACCACGCCAGGGCAGTCGCAGCCGCCTGTCAGTGGGCGGGGCGCTGCCGCTGTGCGACTACTTTGACCTCGCGCGCATCGCCACGCACTGGATCTCGCCCGAACTCTTCCTGCTGCTCGCCAGAGCCGCGCTCACCGCGCCCTTCGCTGCTGCTGCTGCGCGTGGCGCCAGCCCCTCCGTGGCCTTCGTGCACGTGCAGACACACCGCATGTGGCACCTGCCCTTCACTCAAAGCAAGTAGCACCAACTAAAACTTTCCAAAAGTTTCTGAGAATCCCCATTAACCCACCTCAGCCCATCTCATGACATCCCGTTCCATTCTTACTCCTCCTCATTCGCCAACTGTTTCATTCCATACCAGCTCATCACGTTATATCCCATCCTAACACGTGACATCACATCCCAGCCTATCACATGGCATCACAGCCCATCCCACCACCACAAAGTAACCATGCCACCCCTGGTTAGTTCTATCCCATTCCTTCCTATCGTGCCCCATCAATCAACACATGCACTCTCTGCAATCACATCCTCCTTCCTCCTCTTCACCACTTTGCTAACTCCCCATCCTTCCCGCTTCCATGCAGCATTTGCTGTGCGAACGTCTCAGAGGCTGTGTTTGTTGCTCCTTGTTGGGCAGGGTGTTTGGTGGACATACTGAGTGAGCTCATGGTGTATGGCATGGGCCACGCGCCCTCCAGACGCAACACTCTTGACGTCATCATGCCGGCTGACAGCTCTGCAATTCTCCGCAAGTTAAACAAGTGGTGTGTGCCCTCACTCCATGCTGATCCGCTTGATCATCGATATTCCACGATGCCAAAATGACTGGAAGAAAGAAATGACTCATAACAGGCATCCCTCCTCCTCCTCGTTCTCGCAGCCCAGGTCTTGTCATTGCGACATGTGTCTGGTTGCTATTGCACACATGTTAGCAAGCACGAGGTTCTTAGCAGGAAGGCCAGCACAACATCCTTCCAATGCACAAGCGTGTGCCTTCCCGTGTGCATTGCTCTGCATCGCCTTTGCATTCCACGGCTGCAGGCGGCACACGGACGTGCTCGTGTGGGTGAAGACCACGTTCGAGCGCATGGGCTTCCAGCCTCCCACGGATTCCATCTCCTTCCAGATGCTTCCGTACAGCCAGGAGTGGCACGCCATGGCTCAGCGAGCCATGGCCCGCCTGCCCCCGCGCTACATTGCCGTGCACTACCGCTCCGAGTTCATCGCCTTCCACCTCGTGAGATCATCGCCTTCCACCTCGTGAGATCATCGCCTTCCACCTCGTGAGTTCATCGCCTTCCACCTCGTGAGATCATCGCCTTCCACCTCGTGAGATCATCGCCTTCCACCTCGTGAGTTCATCGCCTTGAACCTCATGAATGCATTGCCTGGAACCTCTATGTTCTTGGTTGGCTGGATGGTGGCAGTCCACAAGCCATCATGCCGTCATGCTACTTGATGAAGTTTGTTTTTTTGCAGGCTCAAAGTGACCCAAGAGTCAAACGAATCTGCAACCCAAATCCGTTGTCACCCACCCTGCAGGCGCACAAGCTAGTGCGGAAGGGCTTCAAGGTGGAGGCGGGCGTGCTGGAGGAGCTGATGACGGGGTGCATGGAGGCGGCTCGCGACCTGATCAACGGCATGAAGCGCCGCCACAACATCTCGGCCGTCTTCATCGCCGCCGACGTGCCGTTTGACGACAAGGCGGGCAGCCTCGTGCGCTCCGACTCGTGGAAAGAAACCACGTGGAGGTTTCAAGGGCAGGAGAGGGTGCTGGCGGCCCCGCAGGAGAAGCTGCGGTGGCTGAGGGAGCAGGTGGCGGGCACAGTGATGGTGGACGAGCTCATGCCCGCCATCAACCACTACGACCCCGGTCAGTGCTTCCTGCTTCGCTGCCTGCCTGCCTGCGTGCATGGCTGCTTTGGACGCTTGGGTGGCAGCCCCGTGGCAAGGTCTTCCAGCGAGGGTCTTCGTGCCATGCCCCTTCTCCGTTCTGCCAAGATATTCCAGAAGAGTGCGACTAGCTGCTCCTGTGTGCCGTGCCAACCCTCACTCCCTTCCTGCGCACCTCCTCTTCCTCTCTTGCCATCTAATCTGCCCTCTGCCCTCCTTTTCGGCCTCCTTTTTTATGCTCTCCCATGCTCTCCCACTCTCCCTTCCATACATGCAGGCATTGTGGCCATATTGGACAAGCTGCTGTGTGCGCATGCGCACGTGTTCCTGGCTGGGTCTATCACATGCGGGGGGGGGCGTGGGTTTGAGGAGGACATCAACATCCACAGGCATCACTTCAACAGGACCCCCCCCCACAGATGGGTCTCGGAGACAGACAAGCGTCTATTCCACCTGAACAGCAGCTCTGCAGGTGCAGGGTGAGAGAATCTGGATGTTGAATCTGGTACTTCAGTTCTACCTGTCATTGCCTGCCTTGTATACAATCTCGCGTATTAAATGTCAGAAATGCGGTAGAACCCACGCCGCAGAATGGTGAACTAAGCGCAATGGGGAATACAAGTATTAACCAAAATGAGTTGTACCCTCTATGGGCTACACTACAGCTGACAATTAATAATTATCTTTTGACAGACCTCCATAGGCAAAGTGGGGGATAGCCAGAGCAAGCAATCGTCATAAGACCAATCAAGAGAAGCAACAGAGCAAGACAAGCTCAGGGTGGATCACAAAGTCACCACACAGTCCGAGCGCAAGCAAGTGGCCACACAGGGCCAGTTCACATGCAGGGTTATAAAAAACTGTCAAATGTTGTAGCCTATAGTGAGGTTTGTCTTAGGGGGTACAAAACTTAGGGTTAGCTATATGTACCCCAACCAACATCAATGCACCATCCATTCTTCATTTTGACATGGTATCAGTTAGGTTAGGATCCTGTGGGATCCCGTTCCTCCGTTCTCCGTTCGAGCCTCCCGAGCCTGATCCTAGCTCTCATTCGTCCCGGTTCCGTTGTTACCGCGCGTAGTGCCGCGCCTAGCGCCACTCCTAGCGTCGCGTCCTGCCCGCCCTTTCCCCCTCGTCGCGTCCCTTTCCCCCCGTCGCGTCGCGCCCTTTCCCCCCAGTCGAGTCGCGCCCTTTTCCCCCCGTCGCGTCGCGCTCTTTCCCCCCGTCGCGTCGCGCCCTTTCCCCCCGTCGCGTCGCGCCCTTTCCCCCCGTCCCGTCGCCCTGCCCCGTCCCGTCCCGTCTCCCCGTCCCGTCGCCCTGCCCCGTCGCGTCGCCCTGCCCCGTCCCGTCGCCCTGCCCCGTCCCGTCGCCCTTCCCCGTCCCGTCGCCCTGCCCCGTCGCGTCGCCCTGCCCCGTCCCGTCGCCCTGCCCCGTCCCGTCGCCCTTCCCCGTCCCGTCGCCCTGCCCCGTCGCGTCGCCCTGCCCCGTCGCGTCGCCCTTCCCCGTCCCGTCGCCTCTGCTCCGTCGCGTCGCCCTGCCCCGTCGCGTCGCCCTGCCCCGTCGCATCGCGACCGCCCTTTCCCCCGGCCCGTCGCCCTAGCCCGTTCTTCCGCTGCGACTAAGTCCCCCCACCTGAACCCTAATTTGCCTCTTACCTCCTGCTGTTACTCGCCTGCTCGTTCGCGTTAGTTCTCGCTATGGCGACTCCGCGAGTTCTTCGTTTCGACGCTGACGGTAGACCTCTTGACTTTTCCGTCTGGCTTCTTCGCGCTCGCCGTCTGTTAGAGAGTCAAGTCCAGGGGGGCGAGACCCTCTGGTCGCACGCTACTGGTGACCTCCCCGAGCCCCCCGAGCCTGCCGCTTTAGGTCCTGCCCCTGACGATGCTGCTACGGCTCGCTTTGCCCGTCAGCGCGCTGACAGGACGGCTTGGACGTCGCGTGACGCTGCGGCCTGCATCGCACTCAGCAGCCTCCTCCCTGAGTCAGAGGAGGTCCACTTCACTCAGGTTCGCACCGCTGCTGCGTACCTCACTGCGATTAAGGCCCGCTACTCTACTCCCGCTACTGTCTCTCTTGGCCGTCTTTTCCTCCCGTTCCTGTTTCCTGATCTCGCCTCGTTTGAGCGCTCTGCTGACTTGATCGCTCACCTCCGCTCGCTCGACGCTAGTTACCGCGCTGCTTGCACTGAGGCACAGCTTGCACTGCTTCCTCCCCCTATGGCGATTACTATCTATTTCATCGCCACTAGCCTCCCTGACCGCCTTGCCTCCGTTCGCGACGCGCTTCTGCTGAAGCACCCTAGTGAGCTCACCGTCGATGTCCTTGAGTCTGCACTCAAGGACGTCGAGAGCAACCTTCGCTCGGTAGCCGCTGCCTCTGGTGCTGTGCCCCCCCCACTCTTCCACGGGTGCACAGTCCCGCAGTTACCCACCTTTACTGCCTCACTTGCCACTGCCGCTACTGACGCGACTGCAGCTGCTGTTACGACTGCGTCGCGGTCCCGCGGTAGGAGTGGCAAGAAAGGCGGTTCTGGTGGTGGTAGTGGAGGTGGAGGCGGAGGTAGTGGAGGTGGCGTTGCGCCTGGCGGCGGTGGAGGTTCAGGGCCTGGAGAGGCGCCTCGTGCAGTGACTGGTGACTCCACTGCGCCTGCTAGTGGTGGCGACGCCCGAGTTCGTCAGTCGCCTCCTGTACTTCCTGCCCCGGTTGGTGGAGCAGCGGCGTGGTACCAGGCTCAGCGTCAGCAGCAGCTTCTGCAGCACCAGCAGCCCCTCTCCTCCCAGCAGCCTCAGCAGCAGCAGCGGCAGCAGCTGGCTCCAGGGTCGGGGCTGCGTCAGACCCAGCGTGGTGCTGCTTACACTCCCTGCACCTACCAGGTTCTGACAGGCCCTCGTCGTGGCCACCCTTGTGGCCGGTTTCACCCCCCTGGTCAGTGCTTTGCTCAGCTCACTGACACGGTTCGTTTGGTCTACGGGGTGGGTGCTCCTGCCCCTGACTGGCTGCCTCTTGTTCAGCGCTACGGCTCCGCTCTGTGGGGCATGTCTGCTGAGCAGTTAGTTGATCTGATTGGTACTCCCCATGCTATGTATGCTGTTGTTGACTCTAGTGTTTCTGACTCTGCTTACTCTGGTGTTGTTAGCTTAGGTGCTAGCCTTGCTCAGTTGCCTGTTGCTAGTGTAGGTTCTTGTGTAGACTCTAGTCCAGCGGCTACCTCAGAGGACGGTTCGCTGTCGTTCACGCTGGACTCTGGAGCCTCTCACTGCTTCTTTCGTGACAGCACGACACTTACGCCTCTTCCTGCGCCTGTTTCTGTGGCGCTGGCTGATCCCACTTCGGGACCAGTCACCGCGCGTCACACTACCACCTTGCCGTGTCCGGCTGCTCCTTCTGGGTCTCTCACTGGGTTTCACGTCCCCTCGTTCTCCCGGAACTTGGTGGGCGTGCGACCCCTCGTGAGTCAGCACGTGGGTGTGTGGTTTGAGCCTTCTGGAGAGACTGCGGTGTGTGTTGACGGGGACTCTTACCAGCCCCTCGCCACTTTTGCTGCTGAGCCGGGCTCCGGTCTCTACACTCTTCACACTGGCCCGCGCGCTCAGCAGCGACTGCAGTAGCAGCAGCAGCCGCAGCAGCAGCAGCAGCAGCAGCCGCAGCAGCAGCAGCGGCAGCAGCCGCAGCCGCAGCCACAGCGGCCGCCGTCGCAGCAGCCACTCCTCCCAGTTCCTGTCCCTCCCCCTAGTCTCCTCCCTGCGTCTCACCAGGTGGTTCCGTCCCCTCAGGTTGTCGCGTCCAGTCCAGTCGCTGCGTCTTGCTCCTGTCGGTCGCTTGCCCACCCCACCGTTCTGTGGCACCACCGGATGGGACACCCTTCTCTTCCACGTCTGCGTGCTATGTCTAGTCAGCGTCTGGTCTTAGGTCTCCCGCGTGTCTTGCCGTCGCTGCCGCCGTCTCTTGCACCACCGTGCGGTCCTTGCGTCGAGGGTAGGCTGCGTGCCACCCCTCACTCCTCCTCCCTTCGTCCGGCCACCGAGCCTTTTGAGACGCTGCACTTGGACGTCTGGGGCCCCTCTCCTCGCCCTGGCCCTGAGCGTGAGCGTTTCTTTTTGGTGGTCGTTGACGACTACTCCCGCTACACCACAGTGTTCCCCCTGGCGAGGAAGTCTGAGGTGACTTCTACGCTGATCAGGTGGTTGCTTACCACCCAGGACACTCGTGGTCGTCGTGTCAGCTGTCTCCACTCCGACCGCGGGGGCGAGTTTCGCTCCGGCATTCTCGCTGGATTCTGTCGCGAACAGGGCATTCGTCAGTCCTGGACGCTTCCGGAGTCCCCACAGCAGAATGGGGTTGCTGAGCGTCGCATAGGCCTGGTCATGGAGATTGCCCGCACCTCCTTGACTCACGCCCGTGCCCCCCATTTCCTGTGGCCATACGCAGTCAGGTACGCCGCGCACCAGCTGAACCTCTGGCCACGCGTCTCTCGGCCGGAGGCTTCACCGACCAGTCTTTGGACAGGGTCCCCTGGTGTCGCGTCGAGGTTTCGTGTCTGGGGGTGCTTGGCTCTTGTCCGCGACACCTCCGCGGACAAGCTCTCGCCTCGCGCCGTTCCTTGTGTCTTCCTTGGTTTCCCTGAGGACTCCTCTGACTTCACCTTTTACCACCCTCCCTCTCACCGGTTCTTTGACTCCCGTGACGTCCGTTTCGAGGAGTCCACCCCGTACTACGTCAGGTACCCCAGTCGAGGTCTCCCGGTTCCTCCTCCCCCCCTCTTCCTGACAGCCGCTCCCCCGCCTGCTCCCCCGGTACAGCCTCCCCCCCCTGGTCCAGCCCCGTCTGGTGTGTCTCAGGCTAGCCCTCCCCCTTCGGTAGCCCCCCCTGTACAGCCTCCCTCCCCACAGTCTTCCTCACCGCCTCCTGTAGGTGCTCCCTCTCGGGAGGTTGGTCCTGCGACTGTCCCTGTACAGGTCTCTGGTTCTGGGGGTGCTGGAGTTGGAGCTGAGCCGCGGGTTGCAGAGGACTCTTCTCCTCCGGGGGCTGGTACTGGTCGTGCGGAGTCTGGGGGTGCTGGTGCTGCGTCTGGGGGTGAGGGTGTTCCTTCGGTTTCTGGAGAGCCTGGGTCTGGAGCTGGTGTTGGTGCTGCCTCTGGGGGTGGTGTGCTTGGTGCTTCGGAGGTCGACTCTGGGGCTGCCGCTGCCCCGGACACTACTCCTTCCCCCCACCCCTACCCGACCAGGTTCCAGGCTCGTGTTCGTCGTGCTCGTGAGGAGCAGCTGGAGTTGGAGAGAGAGGAGAGAGAGTTGCAGCGGCTCGAGGAGCAGGAGCGACAGCAGCAGGGGCAGCAGCCGCTGGAGCAGCAGCAGCCGCAGCAGCCGCAGCAGCAGCAGCTGCCGTCTCCTCCTCCTGTCTCGGGTCTTCGGACCCTTGGTCTCCCGTCTCCCTCTCCTTCCTCCTCCCCCTCTCCTCCCGTCTCTGGTCCTCCGCTTCCTCCTCCTGACCCCTCTCCCGCTGTTTTCCCTCGTTCTCAGTCTTCGTTGTCCCCTCCTCCTTCTCAGACTTGGGCCTCTCGTCGCTCCCCTCGTGCTCGTCCCTCGTCTCCTGTTCCCTTCACTGACCTTCGTACTGCCTTACTTCGTTCTAGTCCACCTCGTCCGTCTCTGTCTGTGCTTCCGTCTCCTCCTGAGTCGGCTCTCACTGCGTCGCTCCCTACTCCTGTCACTGACTACTACCGCACGTACCGTCCTCTTCTCTCTCGTGTTCTCGCCTCACTTGTTACTCACCCTCGTGCCTCTGTGTCCTCTGTGTCCGCTCTTACTGCCGCAGTCACTGAGTTTGCCTCTACCCGCCGCCTTGACTTCGCCACCGCTCTTGTGGCTGCTCCTCCTTCCAGTCCTCTGGCCGTCGGGGGTGTGTCTGCCCTTGGCTGTGACGCCCTAGAGGACAGGCAGTTTGAGCTAGAGTTCCTGGCGGCCGCTTCCCCTCATCTCTGTGCCATGCTCCTCGCCCCTGAGGGTGACCCCGACGCCCTTGACATTCCGACTCCTCGCACTTACGCTGAGGCAGTGTCAGGGCCTTGGGCCTCTCAGTGGAGAGCTGCCATGGACGCAGAGATGGCCTCCTACAGATCCACAGGCACCTACGTCGATGAGGTTCCCCCTCCGGGGGCGAACGTAGTCGACGGCATGTGGATCTACAGGGTGAAGCGGCCACCGGGATCTCCTCCGGTCTTCAAGGCGCGCTACGTGGCTAGAGGTTTCAGTCAGCGCGAGGGAGTTGACTTCTTTCAGACCTTCGCGCCCACCCCGAAGATGACCACTCTTCGGGTGTTACTGCACGTAGCAGCACAGAGAGACTACGAGTTACACTCTCTCGACTTCTCTACTGCTTTCCTTCAGGGCAGTCTTCACGAGGAGGTCTGGTTGCGTCGTCCCTCTGCCTTCACTGGCTCTTTCCCTCCTGGGACCCAGTGGAGGCTGAGGCGACCGGTTTACGGACTTCGTCAGGCTCCTCGTGAGTGGCACGACACCCTGCGTTCTACCCTGTCTGACCTTGGGTTCCAGCCGTCTTCTGCTGACCCGTCGCTGTTCGTTCGTCGTGGCCCCACACCTTTCTTTGTTCTGGTCTACGTTGACGACCTTGTTTTCGCCACCCCTGACAGGGTTGCTTTGGCACACGTGAAGTCCGAACTGCAGAAGAGACACACCTGCACTGATCTTGGTGAGCTGCGCCACTACCTTGGCCTGCAGATCACCAGGGACAGAGCTGCTCGCACCATTACACTTTCACAGTCGCACATGGTGCAGCAGGTCCTTCAGCGGTTCGGGCTTCAGCACTCCACAGTACAGCGCACACCTCTTGCTGTTGACCACAGACTCACTGGACCCTTTCCTGACGAGCCGTTCGAGCCTAGTGGTCCCTACGCAGAGCTTGTGGGCTGCCTCATGTACCTGATGACTTGTACTCGCCCGGACCTCGCCTTCCCTCTCAGCGTTCTTGCGCGCTTTGTTGCGCCAGGGAGACACCGTCCTGTTCACTGGACAGCAGCTGTGAGGGTGGCGAAGTACCTAGCGACGACGTCAGGCGTGGGGCTAGTTCTTGGAGGGCAGCAGTCTGTCGTACTTACTGGTCACTGTGACTCCTCTTACGCTGACGACGCTGAGACTCACAGGTCTACTCAGGGGTACTGTTTCAGCCTGGGTTCTGGAGCTGTTTCCTGGCGGTCCACGCGCTCCTCTTCGGTCTCGACCTCTACAGCTGAGGCTGAGATCTACGCTGGTGCCATGGCGGCACAGGAGCTGCGTTGGTTGACCTTCTTGCTCACCGACCTTGGTGAGCGGCCGAGCTCTGCACCGACCTTGTTCACTGACAACAAGGCGTCTATTCTCCTTTGTCGAGAGCCACGACTGGAGAGCAGAGTGAAGCACATTCACGTCAGGTACTTTCTTCTGCGAGAGTTGCAGAGGCGTGGACAGGCTCGCTTTGAGTTTGTGGAGTCCGAGGCCAACACTGCAGACATCTTCACCAAGGCGCTTCCGCCTTGTGACCACCAGAGGTGCTGTGTGCAGTTAGGCCTTGTTGACACTGGTTCTCGTGTTGCTTAGACTTGAGTGTACTGTTTACTTTGCTTTCTATATATCTCTGTTACTTCTTGGACTGGCCTTGTGGCCACTGTTGTTTGTGCTCAGACTGTGTGGTGACGTTGTGATCCACCCTGAGCTTTGTTTCTTGGACTGGTCTTGTGACCGTACTCGTTTGGTTCTGCTAGACACCCCTCACTTAGGCTATGGGGGTGTGTCAAATGTTGTAGCCTATAGTGAGGTTTGTCTTAGGGGGTACAAAACTTAGGGTTAGCTATATGTACCCCAACCAACATCAATGCACCATCCATTCTTCATTTTGACAAAAACACACACAGTACAATGATCACAACCTAGCAAAGGTAAGCATGCAAGTATATATATATATATAGATCACAGTACAAGGCAAAGTCACAAGACCAGAAGTGCAAGTTACCAAGTACATGAAACAGCCCAGAAGCTCTGGATACTTACCACTCGGCTCTACGGATTCGTCCGAAGGTGGAGCTGAGAGCGAGTGGGTCGAAGGCAGAGGAGTGGGCTGTGGCGATGAGAACAAAAACGAAAGCGCGTCAGAACCTACTGCACCATGTGTGAGTGAGTCAAGTTGATGGTGCACCTTGCTCTGTCCAGGATAATCTGAAAGCCAAGATAGCTACACAGCTCACCCAGCTCACCCAGCAAAACATGCAAAACGGTAACGCAGTGAGTGCGAGGTTATATTGCGACTCCGGTAGCGAGGTTCGGGCTAGTCCCCAAGCGTAGGCCGACTCGGGCCAGGAGAACGACGCGAGAAGGCGGCAAAACTTTTTCTAGTGGGTAACGGGCGAAATTTTCGTTACACATATCTTGAAACGCGGATCTGCTGTGGGTATCCTGAGAACCACCTAGCAGCAGACTCGTTGCTACAATTGCAACGAGTGTTTCCTGATTCCGCTGAGACCTTCCAGTTGGCCTCGCCGGACGCGAGCTCTCCGCTGGCACGACTGCAGGAAAGCTAGTAGTGATGAATGCCCTAGAGTTGCTGGACTTACTATGACCTACTCTCTAGCATGAGTCATGCGAATGCTGCGGATATCGAGGCAGCTTGATCTCATGGCTTTCATGTTGTCTCCGCCGAGAGGACTCACAACCAGTAGGAGCTCCGGCGTAGGTCGAGTATTGCGCACGTTCGCTTTACTGGTCGTGCTCTCGTGCCTCACTCGAGTATGCTACCATCGACTCGTAGCACCGCCATTATCAGCCGACGCACCTTCTACCTTTCGCATCCTTCTTTGGCGTTATCGCACCTCTCGCGCCCGTCCGAGTAGCCTGACCGGCGACAATCGTGCCTTCACCCCCCTTGTCCCTCTGCTAGTAACCCAGCCCCTCGCCAACACTTCTCGCAGTTGTGCTTCCCTTAGCGGCAGCGATCTTTCCGCGCATCAGGCTCCTCCCAGTCAACCGCGCGGCGATCTCACGCCGTTCGCGATGAGCATCGACTGCGTGCCGGCCATGAGAGACTTCCCCGACCCCTCCTACCCAAACGGTCCCGGCGACGAGCCGGCCGCGCTGTCTGCGCCGCAGGAGCGCGGCTCGGCGCGCGCCGCCGCGTGCAGAGCGGAGCTGCGGAACGCGCTGCAGCTGTTTGCAGCGGAAGCGAGGCGGAGAGAGGCGGAGGCGGAGTGCCAGGCGGAGGCGGCGTTGCCAGCGAGGCCCCACGGCGAGGTCGCACGGGATGCTCACAGCCTTGGCAGACTCGCTCACAGCCGTAATACGGCCGATAGCACCAATGGTACCACTCCCGGCCCCACCACTGCTGCTGCTGCTGCTGCTGCTGCTGCTCCTGTTGCTGCCCCAGCAGACTCCGCCGCGCTGCTGTGCTCTGCGGCGTGGCGGCGGGCGGCGATGGCGCGAGCTGCGGCGAGTTCGTTCGTGGCGAAGATGTTGAGGCGCAACCAGACGTCGCTGGCGCGCATAGAAGCGCGCGTGCATGCCGTGTGCCGCGGGGTGCACGAGACAGAGTCCCGGCTCAGCGGCCAGTGCAGCGACCAGGGGAACCCGGGTGGCGAGGGCGGGACAGCAGCAGTGGCAGCAGAAGAAGCAGGAGGAGAAGCACGAGGAGAAGCAGGGACAGGAGCAAGAGCAGGAGAAGCAGGAGGAGAGGGAGCAGCAGCAAAGTGCGGGTGGTGGCCTGAGGTGTGCTGGCCGGTGCCACACATGCCCTTCTCCGATGTCACGGTGCCCCTCTTCTCCTTCCCTACTTTCCTCCCTCATCCCTCCTTCCGCCCTTGCCTCTCTTACAAGCTGCTCTCAGTTCCTTCCTCCCTTCGCGTCCCCCTTCCCCTGCCTCGTTTCACACACGCTCCACTCCAAGATCCCTCGTGCACCAGGCCACACAAGCACCATTAAGATATGTTAAACTATCCTCCTTTATCCTCCGACTTTCTTCACTATCCTTCCCTATTCCCCCCCTGTTCCTTCACCCTACTGTCTTCCTTTAATCTTCCATCTGCAAGTTTCCTCACTTTGCCTCTTCACCTCCCCACCCTCCACCTCCCTCTCCCGTCCCCCAAGCCCGCTCCACCTCCCACTCTCTCCATTCCATCCCCCTCAACACACCAGCGCACTCAAGCACTCTTGAGAATCCAGCCCCCCCCGAGCCCCATGTTGCACGTGCGTCAATCCACCCCCCCAGGCTGCGAGGGGTCGCAGGTTCCTTGTGTTTGCGTACTCGCACGAGCAGCTCTCCAACACGCGCTCTCACCTTGTTGAGGCCGCGCGCTTCGCCCAAGCCACCAACCGCACGCTCGTGCTGCCCAAGGTGCCACTGCCGTGCTTTTCATCTTAAAGCACCACTCTGCACATCTCTGCTGTCTCCCGCATATGCTGCTTATGTTTCCCCCTTCCTCAAACCCCACGTCCCGTCATTCCCACCTCCCACCTCTCCCGTCCTCTCCCTCCCCTCCTCTCCCCTGTCCCACTCTCCCCCTCTCTCCCTTTCCCCCTCTCCCCCTCTCCCTTGCTCGCCTTCTCGCCCTCTCCCCCTCTTCCCCCTCTGCCGTTCCTCCCCCTCTCCCTCTCCCCATCTCCCCCACGCCACCCCCTCCTCTGTGCCCGACGCCGCAACCACGCCAGGGCAGTCGCAGCCGCCTGTCAGTGGGCGGGGCGCTGCCGCTGTGCGACTACTTTGACCTCGCGCGCATCGCCACGCACTGGATCTCGCCCGAACTCTTCCTGCTGCTCGCCAGAGCCGCGCTCACCGCGCCCTTCGCTGCTGCTGCTGCGCGTGGCGCCAGCCCCTCCGTGGCCTTCGTGCACGTGCAGACACACCGCATGTGGCACCTGCCCTTCACTCAAAGCAAGTAGCACCAACTAAAACTTTCCAAAAGTTTCTGAGAATCCCCATTAACCCACCTCAGCCCATCTCATGACATCCCGTTCCATTCTTACTCCTCCTCATTCGCCAACTGTTTCATTCCATACCAGCTCATCACGTTATATCCCATCCTAACACGTGACATCACATCCCAGCCTATCACATGGCATCACAGCCCATCCCACCACCACAAAGTAACCATGCCACCCCTGGTTAGTTCTATCCCATTCCTTCCTATCGTGCCCCATCAATCAACACATGCACTCTCTGCAATCACATCCTCCTTCCTCCTCTTCACCACTTTGCTAACTCCCCATCCTTCCCGCTTCCATGCAGCATTTGCTGTGCGAACGTCTCAGAGGCTGTGTTTGTTGCTCCTTGTTGGGCAGGGTGTTTGGTGGACATACTGAGTGAGCTCATGGTGTATGGCATGGGCCACGCGCCCTCCAGACGCAACACTCTTGACGTCATCATGCCGGCTGACAGCTCTGCAATTCTCCGCAAGTTAAACAAGTGGTGTGTGCCCTCACTCCATGCTGATCCGCTTGATCATCGATATTCCACGATGCCAAAATGACTGGAAGAAAGAAATGACTCATAACAGGCATCCCTCCTCCTCCTCGTTCTCGCAGCCCAGGTCTTGTCATTGCGACATGTGTCTGGTTGCTATTGCACACATGTTAGCAAGCACGAGGTTCTTAGCAGGAAGGCCAGCACAACATCCTTCCAATGCACAAGCGTGTGCCTTCCCGTGTGCATTGCTCTGCATCGCCTTTGCATTCCACGGCTGCAGGCGGCACACGGACGTGCTCGTGTGGGTGAAGACCACGTTCGAGCGCATGGGCTTCCAGCCTCCCACGGATTCCATCTCCTTCCAGATGCTTCCGTACAGCCAGGAGTGGCACGCCATGGCTCAGCGAGCCATGGCCCGCCTGCCCCCGCGCTACATTGCCGTGCACTACCGCTCCGAGTTCATCGCCTTCCACCTCGTGAGATCATCGCCTTCCACCTCGTGAGATCATCGCCTTCCACCTCGTGAGTTCATCGCCTTCCACCTCGTGAGATCATCGCCTTCCACCTCGTGAGATCATCGCCTTCCACCTCGTGAGTTCATCGCCTTGAACCTCATGAATGCATTGCCTGGAACCTCTATGTTCTTGGTTGGCTGGATGGTGGCAGTCCACAAGCCATCATGCCGTCATGCTACTTGATGAAGTTTGTTTTTTTGCAGGCTCAAAGTGACCCAAGAGTCAAACGAATCTGCAACCCAAATCCGTTGTCACCCACCCTGCAGGCGCACAAGCTAGTGCGGAAGGGCTTCAAGGTGGAGGCGGGCGTGCTGGAGGAGCTGATGACGGGGTGCATGGAGGCGGCTCGCGACCTGATCAACGGCATGAAGCGCCGCCACAACATCTCGGCCGTCTTCATCGCCGCCGACGTGCCGTTTGACGACAAGGCGGGCAGCCTCGTGCGCTCCGACTCGTGGAAAGAAACCACGTGGAGGTTTCAAGGGCAGGAGAGGGTGCTGGCGGCCCCGCAGGAGAAGCTGCGGTGGCTGAGGGAGCAGGTGGCGGGCACAGTGATGGTGGACGAGCTCATGCCCGCCATCAACCACTACGACCCCGGTCAGTGCTTCCTGCTTCGCTGCCTGCCTGCCTGCGTGCATGGCTGCTTTGGACGCTTGGGTGGCAGCCCCGTGGCAAGGTCTTCCAGCGAGGGTCTTCGTGCCATGCCCCTTCTCCGTTCTGCCAAGATATTCCAGAAGAGTGCGACTAGCTGCTCCTGTGTGCCGTGCCAACCCTCACTCCCTTCCTGCGCACCTCCTCTTCCTCTCTTGCCATCTAATCTGCCCTCTGCCCTCCTTTTCGGCCTCCTTTTTTATGCTCTCCCATGCTCTCCCACTCTCCCTTCCATACATGCAGGCATTGTGGCCATATTGGACAAGCTGCTGTGTGCGCATGCGCACGTGTTCCTGGCTGGGTCTATCACATGCGGGGGGGGGCGTGGGTTTGAGGAGGACATCAACATCCACAGGCATCACTTCAACAGGACCCCCCCCCACAGATGGGTCTCGGAGACAGACAAGCGTCTATTCCACCTGAACAGCAGCTCTGCAGGTGCAGGGTGAGAGAATCTGGATGTTGAATCTGGTACTTCAGTTCTACCTGTCATTGCCTGCCTTGTATACAATCTCGCGTATTAAATGTCAGAAATGCGGTAGAACCCACGCCGCAGAATGGTGAACTAAGCGCAATGGGGAATACAAGTATTAACCAAAATGAGTTGTACCCTCTATGGGCTACACTACAGCTGACAATTAATAATTATCTTTTGACAGACCTCCATAGGCAAAGTGGGGGATAGCCAGAGCAAGCAATCGTCATAAGACCAATCAAGAGAAGCAACAGAGCAAGACAAGCTCAGGGTGGATCACAAAGTCACCACACAGTCCGAGCGCAAGCAAGTGGCCACACAGGGCCAGTTCACATGCAGGGTTATAAAAAACTGTCAAATGTTGTAGCCTATAGTGAGGTTTGTCTTAGGGGGTACAAAACTTAGGGTTAGCTATATGTACCCCAACCAACATCAATGCACCATCCATTCTTCATTTTGACATGGTATCAGTTAGGTTAGGATCCTGTGGGATCCCGTTCCTCCGTTCTCCGTTCGAGCCTCCCGAGCCTGATCCTAGCTCTCATTCGTCCCGGTTCCGTTGTTACCGCGCGTAGTGCCGCGCCTAGCGCCACTCCTAGCGTCGCGTCCTGCCCGCCCTTTCCCCCTCGTCGCGTCCCTTTCCCCCCGTCGCGTCGCGCCCTTTCCCCCCAGTCGAGTCGCGCCCTTTTCCCCCCGTCGCGTCGCGCTCTTTCCCCCCGTCGCGTCGCGCCCTTTCCCCCCGTCGCGTCGCGCCCTTTCCCCCCGTCCCGTCGCCCTGCCCCGTCCCGTCCCGTCTCCCCGTCCCGTCGCCCTGCCCCGTCGCGTCGCCCTGCCCCGTCCCGTCGCCCTGCCCCGTCCCGTCGCCCTTCCCCGTCCCGTCGCCCTGCCCCGTCGCGTCGCCCTGCCCCGTCCCGTCGCCCTGCCCCGTCCCGTCGCCCTTCCCCGTCCCGTCGCCCTGCCCCGTCGCGTCGCCCTGCCCCGTCGCGTCGCCCTTCCCCGTCCCGTCGCCTCTGCTCCGTCGCGTCGCCCTGCCCCGTCGCGTCGCCCTGCCCCGTCGCATCGCGACCGCCCTTTCCCCCGGCCCGTCGCCCTAGCCCGTTCTTCCGCTGCGACTAAGTCCCCCCACCTGAACCCTAATTTGCCTCTTACCTCCTGCTGTTACTCGCCTGCTCGTTCGCGTTAGTTCTCGCTATGGCGACTCCGCGAGTTCTTCGTTTCGACGCTGACGGTAGACCTCTTGACTTTTCCGTCTGGCTTCTTCGCGCTCGCCGTCTGTTAGAGAGTCAAGTCCAGGGGGGCGAGACCCTCTGGTCGCACGCTACTGGTGACCTCCCCGAGCCCCCCGAGCCTGCCGCTTTAGGTCCTGCCCCTGACGATGCTGCTACGGCTCGCTTTGCCCGTCAGCGCGCTGACAGGACGGCTTGGACGTCGCGTGACGCTGCGGCCTGCATCGCACTCAGCAGCCTCCTCCCTGAGTCAGAGGAGGTCCACTTCACTCAGGTTCGCACCGCTGCTGCGTACCTCACTGCGATTAAGGCCCGCTACTCTACTCCCGCTACTGTCTCTCTTGGCCGTCTTTTCCTCCCGTTCCTGTTTCCTGATCTCGCCTCGTTTGAGCGCTCTGCTGACTTGATCGCTCACCTCCGCTCGCTCGACGCTAGTTACCGCGCTGCTTGCACTGAGGCACAGCTTGCACTGCTTCCTCCCCCTATGGCGATTACTATCTATTTCATCGCCACTAGCCTCCCTGACCGCCTTGCCTCCGTTCGCGACGCGCTTCTGCTGAAGCACCCTAGTGAGCTCACCGTCGATGTCCTTGAGTCTGCACTCAAGGACGTCGAGAGCAACCTTCGCTCGGTAGCCGCTGCCTCTGGTGCTGTGCCCCCCCCACTCTTCCACGGGTGCACAGTCCCGCAGTTACCCACCTTTACTGCCTCACTTGCCACTGCCGCTACTGACGCGACTGCAGCTGCTGTTACGACTGCGTCGCGGTCCCGCGGTAGGAGTGGCAAGAAAGGCGGTTCTGGTGGTGGTAGTGGAGGTGGAGGCGGAGGTAGTGGAGGTGGCGTTGCGCCTGGCGGCGGTGGAGGTTCAGGGCCTGGAGAGGCGCCTCGTGCAGTGACTGGTGACTCCACTGCGCCTGCTAGTGGTGGCGACGCCCGAGTTCGTCAGTCGCCTCCTGTACTTCCTGCCCCGGTTGGTGGAGCAGCGGCGTGGTACCAGGCTCAGCGTCAGCAGCAGCTTCTGCAGCACCAGCAGCCCCTCTCCTCCCAGCAGCCTCAGCAGCAGCAGCGGCAGCAGCTGGCTCCAGGGTCGGGGCTGCGTCAGACCCAGCGTGGTGCTGCTTACACTCCCTGCACCTACCAGGTTCTGACAGGCCCTCGTCGTGGCCACCCTTGTGGCCGGTTTCACCCCCCTGGTCAGTGCTTTGCTCAGCTCACTGACACGGTTCGTTTGGTCTACGGGGTGGGTGCTCCTGCCCCTGACTGGCTGCCTCTTGTTCAGCGCTACGGCTCCGCTCTGTGGGGCATGTCTGCTGAGCAGTTAGTTGATCTGATTGGTACTCCCCATGCTATGTATGCTGTTGTTGACTCTAGTGTTTCTGACTCTGCTTACTCTGGTGTTGTTAGCTTAGGTGCTAGCCTTGCTCAGTTGCCTGTTGCTAGTGTAGGTTCTTGTGTAGACTCTAGTCCAGCGGCTACCTCAGAGGACGGTTCGCTGTCGTTCACGCTGGACTCTGGAGCCTCTCACTGCTTCTTTCGTGACAGCACGACACTTACGCCTCTTCCTGCGCCTGTTTCTGTGGCGCTGGCTGATCCCACTTCGGGACCAGTCACCGCGCGTCACACTACCACCTTGCCGTGTCCGGCTGCTCCTTCTGGGTCTCTCACTGGGTTTCACGTCCCCTCGTTCTCCCGGAACTTGGTGGGCGTGCGACCCCTCGTGAGTCAGCACGTGGGTGTGTGGTTTGAGCCTTCTGGAGAGACTGCGGTGTGTGTTGACGGGGACTCTTACCAGCCCCTCGCCACTTTTGCTGCTGAGCCGGGCTCCGGTCTCTACACTCTTCACACTGGCCCGCGCGCTCAGCAGCGACTGCAGTAGCAGCAGCAGCCGCAGCAGCAGCAGCAGCAGCAGCCGCAGCAGCAGCAGCGGCAGCAGCCGCAGCCGCAGCCACAGCGGCCGCCGTCGCAGCAGCCACTCCTCCCAGTTCCTGTCCCTCCCCCTAGTCTCCTCCCTGCGTCTCACCAGGTGGTTCCGTCCCCTCAGGTTGTCGCGTCCAGTCCAGTCGCTGCGTCTTGCTCCTGTCGGTCGCTTGCCCACCCCACCGTTCTGTGGCACCACCGGATGGGACACCCTTCTCTTCCACGTCTGCGTGCTATGTCTAGTCAGCGTCTGGTCTTAGGTCTCCCGCGTGTCTTGCCGTCGCTGCCGCCGTCTCTTGCACCACCGTGCGGTCCTTGCGTCGAGGGTAGGCTGCGTGCCACCCCTCACTCCTCCTCCCTTCGTCCGGCCACCGAGCCTTTTGAGACGCTGCACTTGGACGTCTGGGGCCCCTCTCCTCGCCCTGGCCCTGAGCGTGAGCGTTTCTTTTTGGTGGTCGTTGACGACTACTCCCGCTACACCACAGTGTTCCCCCTGGCGAGGAAGTCTGAGGTGACTTCTACGCTGATCAGGTGGTTGCTTACCACCCAGGACACTCGTGGTCGTCGTGTCAGCTGTCTCCACTCCGACCGCGGGGGCGAGTTTCGCTCCGGCATTCTCGCTGGATTCTGTCGCGAACAGGGCATTCGTCAGTCCTGGACGCTTCCGGAGTCCCCACAGCAGAATGGGGTTGCTGAGCGTCGCATAGGCCTGGTCATGGAGATTGCCCGCACCTCCTTGACTCACGCCCGTGCCCCCCATTTCCTGTGGCCATACGCAGTCAGGTACGCCGCGCACCAGCTGAACCTCTGGCCACGCGTCTCTCGGCCGGAGGCTTCACCGACCAGTCTTTGGACAGGGTCCCCTGGTGTCGCGTCGAGGTTTCGTGTCTGGGGGTGCTTGGCTCTTGTCCGCGACACCTCCGCGGACAAGCTCTCGCCTCGCGCCGTTCCTTGTGTCTTCCTTGGTTTCCCTGAGGACTCCTCTGACTTCACCTTTTACCACCCTCCCTCTCACCGGTTCTTTGACTCCCGTGACGTCCGTTTCGAGGAGTCCACCCCGTACTACGTCAGGTACCCCAGTCGAGGTCTCCCGGTTCCTCCTCCCCCCCTCTTCCTGACAGCCGCTCCCCCGCCTGCTCCCCCGGTACAGCCTCCCCCCCCTGGTCCAGCCCCGTCTGGTGTGTCTCAGGCTAGCCCTCCCCCTTCGGTAGCCCCCCCTGTACAGCCTCCCTCCCCACAGTCTTCCTCACCGCCTCCTGTAGGTGCTCCCTCTCGGGAGGTTGGTCCTGCGACTGTCCCTGTACAGGTCTCTGGTTCTGGGGGTGCTGGAGTTGGAGCTGAGCCGCGGGTTGCAGAGGACTCTTCTCCTCCGGGGGCTGGTACTGGTCGTGCGGAGTCTGGGGGTGCTGGTGCTGCGTCTGGGGGTGAGGGTGTTCCTTCGGTTTCTGGAGAGCCTGGGTCTGGAGCTGGTGTTGGTGCTGCCTCTGGGGGTGGTGTGCTTGGTGCTTCGGAGGTCGACTCTGGGGCTGCCGCTGCCCCGGACACTACTCCTTCCCCCCACCCCTACCCGACCAGGTTCCAGGCTCGTGTTCGTCGTGCTCGTGAGGAGCAGCTGGAGTTGGAGAGAGAGGAGAGAGAGTTGCAGCGGCTCGAGGAGCAGGAGCGACAGCAGCAGGGGCAGCAGCCGCTGGAGCAGCAGCAGCCGCAGCAGCCGCAGCAGCAGCAGCTGCCGTCTCCTCCTCCTGTCTCGGGTCTTCGGACCCTTGGTCTCCCGTCTCCCTCTCCTTCCTCCTCCCCCTCTCCTCCCGTCTCTGGTCCTCCGCTTCCTCCT